AGTTTCCGAGGAGATTTTGATCCTCAGGTTGGTCGGCCGCACCCAACCCGAGTCTCGAGGACTGAGCACGTCGCTTTTAGTGTCCCGAAGTTTTCTTCCGAGCTTGGACTTGATCCTCAGGTCGATTTTGCAAATCAACCTGAGTCTCAGCGGCTACTGGGATCAGCGGTCTTACGTCATCCTTCAGGTGCATCTCGGGTTTTAGACCGATACACACCTTGAGGGCTACTGGCTATATATCTCGGCAGAGAATAAATTGCACCAATAAAAAATATTCACAAAAATCGGCCCACATTCGGCGTGGTGCACCACCTCGGAAGCAGCCCGGCATAAAGCTCGGGCGCTAGTGGTTGGCTCCATAGAGGGCATTTCCGGCATTAAGCTCGGCTAAACTCCTTCAAACTTCTTTGAACCAAGGTTATTTACGACACCTCGGATATAGTCCAGCATTGGAGCTCGGATACATAGTCCGGCGTTGGAGCTCGGATACATTCAGGCGTTAGAGCTGGGAAGCGGTCCGGCGTTGGTGCTCGATTGCAAAAGATACCTCGAATACAGTCCGGCGTTGGAGCTCGGACACAAGAGGACGCTGCCGCCCGGGAACAACTTCAAACCCGAGGTGTCGCATAAAAATAACAAGGCATTGGTAAAGGCCGGAAACTTAAAGGGGCTCCTCGGATACCCGATGTGTAAACTCGCCGAATGCATTTCGGCGATCCTCAAGATCGAAGATGAGAAGATTTGTTGAACCAATTTTCAAGACCGACGACCGAAGATGAAGAACACTTCGGAAGAATCGAGAAGCATCCCTAACTTGAAGACCGGTTCAGGGGGCTACTGACGGTGTCCTGGACTAGGGGATACTCACCACGTCGTCTCCCGATCTATTAGATTGGGCCGAGGCCCCACATGGCCGTATATTCATGGGCCAGTTCGGACAGCTGCCGCATACAAGGAAGATTCCACAAAGACTTGGCGATCAAGACAAGGACTTCTCCCCACCGGCGTATTCGGCTAGGACTCTTGTTAACCTAGGCCTCTGGTGCATTATATAAACCAGGGCCAGGCTAGTCGATAGGACATACAACATACACAACATACAATCATACCATAGGCTAGCTTCTAGGGTTTAGCCTCTCCGATCTCGTGGTAGATCTACTCTTGTGCTACCATATCATCAATATTAATCAAGCAGGACGTAGGGTTTTACCTCCATCAAGAGGGCCCGAACCTGGGTAAAACTTCGTCTCCCTTGCTCCTGTTACCATCCAGCCTAGACGCACAGTTCGGGACCCCCTACCCGAGATCCACCGGTTTTCACACGAAGGGGGATTAACATAATCAGTTCGTACGAAAAAATATTCATAATCAGTTCGTACGATCAACTACTACAAACTATCAATCAAAAAGCTCTTGCATGACATCCTGTACTTGAATCACACCAGAACTACTCAACTATGGCAAAAGCTGGATTTTCTAATCTCTTCGGAAATTACTTCTTGGTCGAATCAATGGAAAAAATAATCAGCACTGCAATCGAAGATGAGAGGAGCCGTGGAGGAGACCTTTTTAATCCGGCGTCGGCGTGGTCCCTTGAGAAGCGATGGCGCGATCTCGGTGAAGGCTATGTGAAACAAGGTAGATGGGGGTGGTTAGGATAGGGTAGATATGCGGTAGAATGGGAAGGTATATATCCGTGATTGTAGTGTTAATTAGTTATTTTGAAGTAATCCGCTTCGATGCATGTTTTTTTAACGAGCGCAATCTTTTCGGGGCTTCCAAAACATGTGCACTGACCGCGGGTGGAACCACATATCACACAAGCCCGAGCCATCGCCGTGCCCGTGCCAACCCGCGACCCACCATTCTAACTTATTGTTCTCTAAAAAAGGAAGAGCAATAAATTCATTCCAAGAATTTCCAGAAATAATTGTCAACCCATTTTCGTTGGTAATTATGAGATATGTTTGGCGCAATTAGTGGCTAACTGGGTTCTTTTTTTTGAGGAATAGTGGAAACTTGGTTTGATACATGCCAAACGTTATGTTCAGATTAGTTGCATTATTTCGTTCATTTTTTACCAAAAAAATCTATACAAAGTGTTAATTGGACAATGTGAACAATGTGGCACGAAGGTTGTCGGCCCAGCCAGTGGATGGAACGGATGGTACATGTACACGCAAGTACGATCTCTGACACGCGCATTTCGGGTCCCTGTACATGTACATATAAACCAACCCAACATCGATCCGGTTCAGTGGATGCATGCGTGCTCTATGTGGCACGAAGTATGGCGGCCGAGCCAGTCGACGGACCAGATCGATGCTACAGGAGGGAATCCATTGTAGACCAACGCTCCATCAATGTCCGGTGTGTGTGCTATGTCCACCGTAAGACAAACATAGTTTCGTCAACCCTAAACCCTTAAACCCTAAACCCTGATAACCCTAAACCCCCCCCCCACTAAACCGTAAAAACATTCAAATTTTTGCCCCACATGGAAACCATTATGCATGCATTCTCTATGGGGTCATGGGATGCCATGAAAAAAGTTTGGGATTATACACGCAAGTACGATCTCTGACACACGCATTTCCGGCCTAGCACGTGAACACCCCGAAAGCACTAGTTGGGTTCCTCACCTATATGAAACCAACCAAACATCGATCCGGTCCAGTGGATGGATGCATGCTCTATGTGGCATGAAGTTTGTCGGCCGAGCCAGTCAACGGACCGGATCGATGCTACCAGAGGGAATCCATTGTAGACCAACGCTCCATCAATGTCCGGTGTTTGTGC